TGCCAGCAACCAATTAGGCTGGCATAAACCTCGTCTAGCATATAAAACAAGACCAAGCTGCAAATGTTAAAGCATAAGAGCCAAATCAATCTGCAGAATGGTTAAAGGCAACATCCCTGATTTCTGATGCATTTTCTAGAGTTGGAATTAAAATCTGAAATGTAAACATGTCCGTGTAAACATGAACGTGTATTGTGACAAACTGAAAAAGGAACAAGTGATAGAAACACTATCTTCATCTCAAAAACAAAAGGAGAGCCATAGTGCTGACACACTGACTCTTCACTCAGCATTTCCTTAATTTCTAGTGCCTCTCCTCACAAAATTAGAATTCACATCGCAGACAAAAGTTTTCCCAAGAAGACTTTCCATTGCTCTAGGGCTCAAAAATAATGGACAAGTTATTTGAAAAGCCTATTATTTGTGTAAATGCATTCTGTCATAAGCCAGATGCCACATGCTGTATCTCCTACTGACTAGAGCACTCAGGAAATATCACTGCAAATACAGCAACGCAAACACAAACATATGTGAAGCCCACACTGTACAATTACCTTAAATACCTGTTATTTCACAATGGTCTCACTCTTATCAATACATATCAATACAATGAAGAACATCAACTCTCCATTCCCTCCCTTTTTAGTCATCTAATGAACATTTGACAAACATAAGAAAGAAATCATAAATATCTGGAGAAAAACCAGATAAATCCCTCTGTTGTAATACTTCTTAGTGTAGCTGTTGGTGCAGAAAAAGCTTTAGGAAGCCAAAACAAATAAACGGGGCTAAATAAAACATTTCAACCAACTCTCAACCTAAGTAGCAGTGCCAATCAATCAGAAATACCAATCTGTACTTCGCTTCTCATCTCTGAGCAAACTGAACATTTCCTACCTGCAAGAATTCTTCAGACCACCACCTTTTTGAAGCAGTGATCGATGACAGTACTAAAACCATGGCCTTCCTAATGCTTTTTAGAAAAAAATTACCAGTGCTAAATATGGGTTGGTGTTTTCTAAATTGCAGTCTGGGCTACAGTACTAGCTGTCGTGTGATTTAAACCCCTCTGCGCTCGCCAAAGTGACATAAGAAATAAGGCTGGGAAGAGATCGCAGCCTTCTCCACCCTTCCACATAACTAAAGTGTTGTACTGGGTTTGCCTGGTCACATTTCAGCGGCGGGGTGGCTTCTGCAAGAAGCTGCTATAAGCTTCCCCTGAGTCTGACAGAGCCAATGCCAGCCGGCTCCAGAGGGAAAGCCCAAGCGCCGGCCGCCTCGAGGGGCCCCTGCCGTGGGCCAAGGCTGAGCCTGTCAGTAAAATGATAGGAACGTCTCTGTGAAAACACATTTAAGAAACATTAACATTTAAAAAAATTCTGGAGACCACAGCACAAGAGAGATATGGACGTCCTGGAGCATGTCCAGAGAAGGGCCACAAGGATGATGAGAGGGCTGGAGCACCTCTCCTGTGAAGACAGACTGAGAGAGTTGGGGCTGTTGAGTCTGCAGAAAAGAAGGCTCCGAGGAGACCTTATTGTGGCCTTCCAGTATCTCCAGGGGCTACAGGAAAGCTGGTGAGGGGCTTTTTAGGATGTCGGGTAGTGATAGCACTAGGGGGAATGGATTGAAGCTAGAGATTGGACATTAGGTTCAGATTGGACATTAGGAAGAAGTTCTTCCCCATGAGGAAGGTGAGACACTGGCACAGGTTGCCCAGAGAGGTGCTGGAAGCCCCATCCCTGGAAGTTTTTAAGGCCAGGCTGGATGGGGCTCTGAGCAGCCTGATCTAGTGGGGGATGTGCCTGCCCATGGCAGGGGGGTTGGAACTAGTTGATCTTTAAGGTCCCTTCCACCCTGACAATTCTATGATTCTTCAGAAGCTCAAATCATGTTGATGTAATTTTTCACATCATAATATGCACAGCAAGGAAATCAATTATGAAGAGTAAAAGGAAGTTTGAGGGGGATGTTCTCCAGGCGCCAGAGTAGAGAGTCCCCCAGGACATGGTGAAGACCATGGTGAAGACCATGGTG